TTCCACTAAATCTCAACATTCCACAACCTTATTTATGTTGTGGGATGCGCCATTTTCTTTTGCTTTTTCAACGCAACGCCCCTGGCCTCGTATATTTCCAGGCGCTGCCGGGCTCTGTCAGCCCGGCAGCAAGTCAATTTAAAAAAAATATATATTTTTGACTGGCTGCCGGGCTTGACAGTGATTTTTTTTAAAAAAAATTTTGCTTTTAGCAATAATTTAATACTAGATCATTGTCAGAGCCATAAGCATCCGATTTTTCTTTTTTTTTTTGACAATATTCTAAGTAATTAGCCCATAGCTGTGGCCTATAGTTACTCTTTTTAAGAAATTACTTTGCATCTGTCGATTGAATTGTATAGACTATGGAAAATTGTTACGGGATTAATGAATAGGAAAGAAATGTTAATTACCTTAGATTTTACAAACCAAATTTTTTTCTCAATATTTTTATTTATTTAATCGATCAAAATATCATTAATGCCTTTTGTTTGGATTGAATATAAAATGTGCCTTTATTAGTTAAGTTTAGTCGCTAAAAGCATAATGTTCCAAACGTGACGTATCAAAATCAGAAATAAATGTTAATTGCCTTAGACTTTACAATCTAAATTTTTTAAAATAACCTTACAAAAATTAAATATGATAGCGTTTGAGATTGGTTACTTCTACCAAAATTATAGTGAATGGGAGAATTATTGTTTTGGTCCCTAATATTTGGCCTACATGCGAAATTAGTCTCCAATGTTTTGGCCAAATAAATCTAATCTCCAAAATTTATGATTTTAGGCAGGTATAGGACAGCTAATAGAACAATAACCGATGGTCAACATCAAATTGTCGTTAGTCAACAATTTTGACTTTGCACTTTTGGTCTCCAATGTTTTGATTTTGAATCATTATACTTTATTTAATTTTTAAATAGTGATATCAAGGATTTTAGCATGAATTGAGATGCAAATTAGAATGAAATAGTATTAAATGGGTAATAAGAATTCTAATTAAATTTCTCTTTCATCTTTTTTATTTTTATTTCATTTATTCTTGCTGATAATACATCATTTTTTTTTTTGCACAGTTAATCTAAAATTTGATATAATATATGTGTATTAATGTTTCTCACTATTAATAATTAATTGATAACAAGTTTTATTATTTTTATTTGTAATGATAATTAAAAAAACTTAATTCAATATTCCTTTAAATCAAAAGGAATATATCTTTTTTATAAATTAAGTTGATCTTTGTACAGTGGCTAACTACAAGAATTTGAAATCTATGTGCATAAGACAAACAACAATTTTTGTAGCAGTAACTAAAATGAACTTAGATTATAAAACTAGAATTCTCTTTTTCTTTCACTACTTAATGTTCTATTTATTATTGGCATATTAACATCCAATTATAACTTATTTAACAAAGATATGCTATTTAGGTTACAATTATGTTGTGCCAGTAACAAACTATGCTAATTACTCTCTCCGTCCCACTGTGTTATTTTTTATTTTTTTTCACATAGTTTACAAAAAATTAGTTAACATTCTTCGAAGAATAAATTTAGTCTTCTTTTTTCCTGAATTACCTTTACATCAATATTATATGACTAATTGATTACCATAACAATCAAGACCATTAATATAATAGTATTTGATGAATAGGCTGGGAATGGTATCATTGTCACCTTTTATGTGCCAATACATTTAATTAAATTAAGTATTATGCCTAGTACAATTAAATAAAGTGATAGTTTGGGACAGATGAAAAAGAAAAACCAGTCTAACAAATTAGGACTGAAAAAGGAGTATAATCAAAAGTATTAGTTTTACGGGTTAAAAGCAAAAAAAGCCCCTTGTAATATACCTAATATAAAGAAAAGTCTACCCGTAGTTTCAAAACATACAAAACGATACCTCATGTTTTGAACTAAATTGTAAACTAATAGAATTCGTTAAATTTAACGAAATCCAGTAAACTTAACGGAAAATTTAACGAAATCCGGTAAACTTAACGAAATCCGATAAGTTTAACGGCCGAACCCGTCATTTTCGTTAAGTTTAACGAATTCTTTTAGTTCACAATTTAGTTCAAAACATGAGGTATCATTTTATATGTGTTTGAAACCATGGAAAACTTTTCTATATAATAAGTATACCACAGAAGACTTTTTTGTTTTTAACCCTAGTTTTAATGATTAAATTTATCATGTCCGCGATAGAACCAAGCTTTCCGCTTCACATTTTGATCAAAGTACTTTGCCCACACAACCGGGGGCCTAATTTTAGTACCAATTTTATCCTATTTAAAGATACCATCAATTTAATGGCTTTCGTTGTTTGGCTGGTCAATGAGTAAAATGTTAGTTATTCTGTGCTAGTAGACAAACCACATTGTCTGCACTATATAAGCGTCGAGAGAGGAGACATGAGAAGATGGACAGATATGAGCAGATGGCTTCTGGAGCTACAGTCAAATAAATGACCAAATAGGTGAGAAATGGATTAGAGTTGCCCAAAAAAAATGCAACTTTTAGCTTCAAAAATATGGAAAATAGGATAGCATTAAATTTACCAAACCATTTCTTTCATCTCTTAAACTCCAAAACAGATTTCAAAACTCTCTAATCTCTTGCTTCTCATATCCTATTCTTTTTTTGTCATAACTAATTTTTCTTTTCTCTCCCCTAAACTCCAAAACTGGCTGTGTTTATGCATTGATTCATTTTAACACGTTGCCAGAACTTGGAGTTCAAGGTAAGAAAACCAACAACAAACATGCACTTTTCAAGAATATTGGAGCAGAAACAGTAATGATGAGAAAAGATCTAGAATCCCATCGCGAAAACAAAGGCTTTCAACAAGAATATCAATTGAAAAAACAAAAACTCGCACACACACGCAAACACACAAGTAATCGAAGGGTTCCTTCTCACTTTTTCCGTGTAAGTGTAAATGAATCTGGTAACAGGTCACCAAAAAGGGTATGTTTATTTCTTAAACAGGTAATTACGCATAATGATTGGCAGATGGAGCTGAAAGATACAGTAAGCCACATATCTAAGTGGTATCATCAAATATGATAAAATGAAACTACTACCAGGTTTACTAGAGTGTTGAGCGCCAGGTAAGTAAGAGCTTACATGTATCACTTATTGAACCATGAATGCACGAAGGTAAGATCTAATTGAAAACTCCAAAACTTTTTTGTCACAATCACCAAAATTGTATGTCTACTAAAAAATAGACAGCGGACATGAACTTCCCTCAACCTAAAATTCCCTCTTCAACATGATAATTACTGCAAAAACATATATATAAAACAACTTCATATTTCCAAAAAATACAAATGCAGCATCGCAATGACTAGCTCTTAAACCTAATACTGCGGCTGATTGCAGCATTAATACCCGAGGCTTCCCCACCATAAATAGCAGTTGGCTTCCTGATATCTCGCACTTGTCCCTTTCTACGCACCACTGCTTTTTGGTGCTTCAACTGTGAGAGAGAGAGATACATCAGCTATGTAATTAGGAGTTTAATTTGTTTATTTAAAGAAAAAGATCAGCAGTTCATCGCCAGATACCTTGTACTTCTTTCTTGGATTTTTGGTTAGCTTCTTCCGAGCACAAGTTAACCCTCTGTTCTTCTCCATCTGATAATTGCAAGCACAAATACTTAAACAGTTAAACATGATATAACCCCATAAACACAGGTAAAATGAGAAATTCTGACCTGATAAGAAATTTGGCGCTTCCCATCTACAACAGTTTCTGGCAAAGGTGTGAGCTTTGTGGATCTGAAGAAAGGAACAGAAAGCAAACAATAAGCAACCTAAATGCCTCCTCACACATTGACTGCACAATGAAGAGTAAGCTAATAAAAGGATTCTTCTGCATGGAGATGGATTTGAACATGTATGGCAGAAATATAATAAGACAGAATCTGTTCACTGCTTGAAAACAGCACAACCATGAATTACTGGAAACTTTAAACATCCTACCAATGCAGAAAAAATAACATGCGGGCATTGGTCAAAAGAGATGTACATTGAAGGCGTTCCTTTTCTTTGTTACTTTTCATTCTTTGGTTAAACAATAAATTCACAATCCAGCAGCATTCATTCACACCTACTGGGCTCTCCTTTTTCTTGTCCTAAATATTGACACTACTGTGATTGAAGTTCCCATAAGTAGAGAAACTAGGAAATCTTTTCTTTTGAAATCCTGTATTAAGGAAGTGTTTTATAAAAATCCTTATCTTGTATATTAATATTTACAGGCTTGGGCAGTTTGTAAAAGAGCTACAACTATAAAAGTGGAAGATTCAAGGAAGACAAAACAAATAGCTGTTGGCGCCAGTCTTCAGAATATTATGGAAGTGTACACTAATTTGGTCAACACAGAGATAAGAAAGATATCTTAGCCACTTGCAGAAGTATGTGATTTCCAGTTGATGAAGTGGCTCAATCCAATCTAATGTCAAAATTGTACTAACTGGAACAACTGCAAATTTGACAGCAAGGCGGGCTCATCACATCAGGTATCAAAAGAGGCGTTACAGCCTAAAGATTTAAAACAGAGCTCTGGATGATGTACAAGTAAATACTTGAAAGCAGATTACCAAATTCTCCATAATTATATTCACGCATTCCTTATAGATCAAATGACTAGGTCAAGGAGGATGCTCATATAGGTGGAGCCATCCCATCAAAGACGTTTCCCCAAATTTTGCCACTTGAGTTGAGCTTAAATGGTAGTGTTTCTGTTCAAACATAAAGCTCACAAGACTTTTCCCCAAATTTTGCAAGTTTAGGTTAGCTATTGTTTCTGTTCAATAATAAAGTTTAGATGCCAGATTTTTGAGCCTGTAACTCATCAGGACATAGATATCAAGTTCAGTGTCACAAGAATTATGAACAATTTTAAGATCTCAGCTTTTACTGCGCTTACGAAATGAAATTAAACCAGAAACAAACCTAGTATGCATCTCTGCCTTTGCTGCAAGCTTTGCAGCATGTTTTAGTTCTGCCTGCTTGTAAAATTCCAAATCTAATTCGGTCTCACCATCCAAATCAACTTCTGGAACTCCCTCATTCACAAGAGTTCCAGATTCATCATCCACATCATCAACAGTTCCTATTCCAGTCCCAGCCAAAACTCTAAGTTCATGCTTTTGTCGCCTCTCTCCTATGTCATCTCTTTTTGGTAAATCATCATAAATCATCATCACCAGAAACAACCTGTTAAAGGAAAGACATTACATGAAATATTTAAAAGCCTAATAAACGCAACACAGCTTATTGACAGCTAAAATGGCTAAACAGCAGATCCTACAAAACCAGGAAAGAATAATAATTACAAGTCAATAATATTTGCCTAGACATTCAAAAAAGTCCAAATTCTTTAACCAAGAAATAACAAAACACAAAGAACTTTGAGAAACGACAATTCATGTGTAGTCTACCACATGTGAGCTTTATAAAAAAAAAAAAAAAATGGTGGGAATAGACTTCAGGGGCCATTCTGACAAAAAGATATAGAACCCAAGGAAAAGAACATTGCAAAGCCCTCTATATAGGACTTCGAAGGGGTTAAAAAAATTTTCACATGAGATTTATTTTAGATAGGCAAACTGCATTAAGAACTGCTTAGCAATCATCACCTCATGGAAGATGCATCAAGCACCAAAAAACTTTCAGGTTCCATGTGCCTGATACATCCACCAGAGAACTAAGAGTGGCATAATTAGCATGATATAGCATTGAACACATATAATTGATGCTATTTCCAGATCAGTTATTTACAATTACACCAAGGCCACCAGTGAACTGAAAAGCTTAGACCCATGTAGTTCAGAAACCTTCATTGTTTCTACGATTAAAACTTGTCTTCCAAGTTGCCTTTGTGCAACACTAACGGTGGCTCCATTTTGAGCTAGGGCTTTACAGTGTAGACGCACTGAACAAACCTGTTTCCTAGCACATTCCAGATTGCAGCAGGAGACTTTCTGTTGTATGTTATACATATCTCATTTTTTATTGTTTCCCATTTTCTCACCATTTTTTGTTCTCAGGGAGAAAAAAGGAGAAAAGTCTAGCATGCAATGACACAGGTAAGCATAAAATGCTTTCTAGCAGTTGCATCTATGAAGTCTGGTCGAGTCTTATGCATCTCAACTCTCCTAGAAGGCTCAATCCAAAATAAAATCAAGAGACTTGGGAAATAAATCAAATTTGAGAATGATGTATAAGTCAACTAAGCCACACGAATCCCATTTCTCCAACCACAAAAGAATCTCAATGAATCACAGGACAAAATGTCCTGTCAAGTGCTGGACTACTAAATAACTGACATGGAATCCTAGATCTCCAATAACTGATGGTACTGGAAGTATGAAATGCAAATCCCAAAGTCATGCATAACAGAAAAAAGAGTACACTGTGAATGCCATAGTTAGCAAGCAATTTGACCAGGACACCAAATCAATGTCCATTACCTTCAGCTTATTTGCCTGAGAAGCCACAAGCTTGCAGGGTTTAAGTGGATGCAAAAGACTTCCATTCCTGAGATCTGTTCGATGATGGACCTTTTCTAACACAATAGCATCATCATCAAAGTCCTCTAATGTCTCAAGTTGTCTGTTTCAAGTTTGAACATCTTTTGTCAGTATCATCATTTTTCTTTGGCTGCTCCCTATAGAAAAGCAGGTAAGTGGAATTGATGAATTTTTAAGGATGAGTGATACCCATTAACAGGTCGGGGGCACTTTTTATCTCTATCATGCTTGTTTGCTATAGAACTAAAGATGCCTTTCTGCTTCAATTTCTCCTCAAGGGCAGCTCTTACTTTTAACATCTCCATGCTCTGCTTACCAACTTGATCATCCTGTAAATTTCACATCCAAACAGATAATAGAGAAGAAATGGTTATAGCTTCAGAAAAATTATGCCTGCGAGTCATGAAAGCAATAGCAGCAGCACAAACACAACAACTCAAAGCAAATTAGCCTATAACCTCCATGTGTAGGACTAACCTGCTGCCTGGATTTTGATTTCATCACCTTGTACTCCTTGAAAGAATCCTCTTCTACTAAAGGAGCTCCTTCATGAGCCTAAAATAAAATCAATATACTTATGTCTGGTAACGAACAAATGCTGAATGGACTGAAAAGTATTAAATAAGAGATAATCAAGAGGAAATTGGGGCACTTCAACACATTAGTTACCCCTGGTTTCTCTACTATCTCAACAGGGACCGCAGTGGGCTTGTGAACCTCCGAACAAGATACAAAGTTTGCCGCAACATTCTCTTGAACCAGCTTCTCCACTCTCAGAGCAGGTTCATTCTTGTCCAGAATATCCTGAAGCTCAGGAGGAAGATTGTCACCAAGTTCCTTCATCTACAATTAGAGAAGCAGGGTTACTACTTTCAGGGATTCCAATACTAATAGCATAGTAATTGTGAAGGTTTAGGAACTGCAGAAATTGCTTAAGTGGTGGAAACAACTATAGAAAACATTACTTTGGGGTATAACTGTAAGAGACTAAAGCCATACCCAGTAAGAAAAACTGAACAAACTCAAGACAACTAAAAGAAGACATCCAAGCAATAGCACCCAGAGGAATCAATAGTCTAAAGTGTAACCTTTTAGCATATAAACTATGATCAACTTGTGCACTGACACCTCTAAGCTCTCCTCTTGATGCACAATAAGATGATATAAAGCTACTTTACTAATGTAAAACAGCGTAATGCTGCCCATGATGTACCACATCAACTAAGATAAATTACAACTAAATGTCATGAGAAATAACCAGAGAAAGATTCCTATGAAGCAACAAACACTTGTATGGATTATCAAGTAGTAACTACTTACCTCTCCCTACCTACGTCAGTCCTAAATCCTCTTTATTTATAACGCACAAAAGATTAAGTCCTCCAATCACAAGTCATAAACATATAGCTTGAAGAATTCCCATGCAAAAAATGATTCCCATGATATTTAGATACATATATATACATACACAAAACTAAAGACATGCAAGTTCAGGTAGAAATAGAATTAAAATCACAATTACAGGTTGTGAGCTATCCCTTTATTAAGCATTACCATACTATACATGCAACTTCTTTTTATTAGGATCCAATTGTCTCACTCACCGATGAGTATACAGTTTCTGGATAAATCAAAGAGTTTTAGACACAGATTAATAACAAATACTGTTTAACATGCGCATGCATCAAATAACAAACTACAATAAGGCACTCATACAATCAAAGAGACAGCAGGGACAGATTCCATTAGCAGCAAGGTCAAAAAAGCTCAATTTCTGCAGGTCACCAGATCACATCTAGAATTTTTTTTTTTTTTTTTTTTTTTTTTTTTTTTTTTTTTTGGAAAAGAAACATGGATCCGATTGGGAAAGCCTTTTTTTGCAACTAAACTATGAACAGAAGGCTAATGTAATGGAAACACATTATAAGTAACAACAAATCCAAGAACATAACCAAAAGAAAAAACTGAAACTCAAGATGAATCCTAAATGCTCAGTTGCTGAAGGTATTTGAAAACAGGTTGAACTTCACATATTAGATGTCTAGCTATAAAGGGAAATGAAATGCCAAACGATAAAGCAATCTAATGAGCATATTCAAATAGAACAGAGATTGATTCTAGTATTTTATTCCACCTATTTAACATTTGATGCAGGATAACCACACAAACTATGAACATGAGAAAGTAAACTGTCATTTACACCTACTGAAGATAATCCTACTTCTATTTGGGAAAGAAAATCATTACAAAAAGAAATGCAAAAAACAAAGGCTTGCAGTTATTGCATCAGACTTTATTACTCTTAGGTGAAATATAAATCTTCAACCAATCAAAACATGCATACACCAAACACCACAGTGATCTTAGATACGAAATATTCATGTGATAGGTTAAATTACAGAAATCTTAGATTCACTTAGATACTAATAATGAGGAAACAACCTTGTCCAATAAATTCTTGATCTCCACAAGCCTAGAAATTACAGGATGATCACGAACAGGCTGCCCTTCTGACTTGAGAAGAAGATAGAACGCAATTGCCTGGCAATAGGAGAGTAAAAGTTGCTGCTTGATCTCCATATAATGCATCCCTCCTTTGATTGCATTCTTTACATCTCTGATCTTCACCAAAGCACAAAAGGTTCATCAGTATGTTAATTGCATTCTAACACTGTGCTGATTACTATGTCCTTTAACAAGTGTGGAAACGTATTCACAAGAGACAGGAAAAAATTACTAGAGCATATTACAATCAGAGCAGAAAGAAGCTAGCAAAATTTCATTGTCACGCTTTATTTTATTGAAATTCAACACATCTTTGTCAATGCTTTCTAGTCACACAATTGTCTATCTTGTATTGCATAGACTTGATACAGATTGGCTATGACAGGCAAAGCTACACAAACCACAGATGGGTCAAGCAATCCATTTACACTTTAGAATTCCAAATTGGATTGACCGACCAAAAAATTCAAGGTCAAGTACATGTCGAAAATATTTAAGTTCATAAAATTACAAACAAACATGCAACAGAACAAAACCCGGTACTTCCACCTTCCTAGACAACCTCGGATACATTTTATTTGTCACAAAATGGTTCAATCAAATTTTAAAGAGACTTAGTATCTCTAGTCATGATTTGTCTGCATCACACATTATTTAGAACAACGGAGAGGTAGGCAATTTTTTTTCAAGATTTGGTCAATCATGGAGATCTATGTACTGATACACAATACGCTTAAAAGACTGGGCCAAAGGTGAGTATACCTGGCTCAAGAGTGGATTCACCTTGTTTTCAAGCTGCCCAAGAACATCATCAAGTTCTGACAGTAAACCAACTAACTCTGGTGCAGAACTGTGCAAAAACAATTAATTGAGGTGAGAAACGCAAAATCAATTTTTGCAAACCTGAAAACTGCAGCCACACAGCATCAATAAATAAAACCAAGTCTTCCAAAAACAGTTATCGGGGTATAGGTATTTGAAATGCATATCCCACTTTAACCTAATACACGTTCATTATTAGTTTTGGTAAACAACCTCCAGGAAAATATGTTGAGATCTGCCTGGAAATGATGCAGTAAATTCAATAAAAACTTTCATGCACATAGAAAGCTCAAGAAATCATTCAATGAAACATCGTTGCAATGATTTCTAAAAGAAAAAAAAGTTGCTAACAATAATTAACTTTTTATCCAAAATGTAATCCATAAGGACTCATGAACAAATTTTTGAGAATAAAATTGTAAACTCAAAATGGAACTAACATTTCAATCATTATACTAGGCGACAATCATATTAGTAATGGACTTTGTAACATTACCAGACTCAGAGAACATGAACTGTAGAAAGAGTTGGGATATGACAATTTAATTGTAACTGTATTTCAAGAAACCTTCAGATAAAATGCTTGGAACAGAGAAGTAACTATACATCTAGAGTTGAATTCTATCACCTATCACCCAAAAAAGTAAAAATAAGAAAAAGAAAGAATTGAATTCTATCTATCGGCAAAAAGCAAACAATGGTTAGCTAAAAGCTTATCAGGGCTAAGAGAAGGGAATCAAATGTCCCCTCATACTATAAAATGCTTCACAATCCTGGCCTTGGCAGCAATCACGAACTGTGTTAATGCTTGCGAAATATCCCAATACAGTTATATATTTAGATCAGAATTCTTCCGTGAGAACCCAAAATTTTCTAATTTTCTAGACTTTATTTTATTTAATTGCACGCCTTTTCTATCTTTTCTTTATTAGGAAAATTTTTTAGATAATTTTTATGAGTAAATATAGTTTTAAAATCATTTTTCTAGTATAAGTTAGTTTTTGAGAAATTAGGAGTGTATACGGGATGTGGGACCCGCAAGTGCGGTAGAATTCGGCCAATTAGATTAGGTTTTGTATAATGGGATTAATTTCCTAGGTGTTAAGAGGTAATTAGAGGTTACTTAGATGGATTAGTATTAGAGAGACAAAAGGATAGTTATAAACAAAAAAAGTGACAAGTGTCACTTTGTGATTTAATCTTGGATTTTGACCACTGTTCATTAACTTTACTAAATATGTAATTGACCCAAAATTCATCCCATTTCTTTCCTTCTTAACCAACTTCCTTAGGGAGCAAAAAAAAGGAAAACCTCCAACTTTCTTCTTCTCAATCTTGCTCAATCTCACAACTTAACTGTTACAACTTGAAATTACTCCATAAAAACCCCTAGCTAAGTAGTATTGAGGTAGTTAGTGGAGTTGTTTTGGAAGAAAAAGACCTAAGCTACTACCTTTTGGGAGGCATCAAGGTATGGGGTGTAAAGATTCATTGTTTGTTTCCAATAATGGTGAATTCATGACTTGTGGTGGCTAGTTATGTGATTTGGTGGAAGATTTCATGACTTTTGGTAGAGATTGATGAATTTTTATTTTTATTCATGATTTTTCTGATTTTATATGATTGGAGTTATTTAGCCATGGATGATGGCTTAGTATGGTCTAGAATGAAGCTTTGGTGTGTTAATTATAGCTATTTGCGAAAAATCTCCAATTTGTACGAAAAATTTCAGATTTAGGGTTTTGAATTGGGGCTTTTCTAGGGTTATTGTGGAATGCTTGAATTGGCTTTGTTTAAAGGGTATTGCAACCCTAATAAGGTGTATTGAATGACGTAGGACTTATACTTGTAGTTGTGGTTGGAAATGAATGGTGAATTGTAGGTTGAAAATCTGAAATTTTAAGGGGAAATGCTGTCCAAATGTTAGGTTATATGCTTTCTTGTGTTTGGGTTGCTTAGAGTGTTAATTAATGACGTTGGGGTTGTCTAAACCCTTAGCCCACGTATTTCTTATATTCCTTTTAAGTTCTATCGGCTTTGCATTAGTGAAGTGTGGTTTGGATTTATGACTCGTAATCGAGTTTCATTGTGTTTTATTGAATGTTTTAGGGCGTGCCGGTGACCCAAGGCGGTCGTTGGACAGAAATTTGTGAAACCTTCCTTTGCTTGATTGGTGAGTGTACTACTCACATGAGTATTACTTCATGGCTTCATTATACGTGAAATCTATGATTTGAATGCTTGTGTGTACTGTTGAAATTGGTTGAGTCAAGGGTGTACTTTATCACTTTTACATTCAATGGCTTATGTGACTGTTACTGTATCAACTGAATGTCTTTGAATACTTGAATTGGTGTCGTTTGGACGTGTATCCAACGACTCTTACTGTTTACCCTGAGCTCAACCCCATTGGCGGTCGATTGACTCGAGTCAGCAAGGGCATGGTCGAGGAGATTGATAAGCCGTGGGGATTGTTTCTATGGAATCATTGGGTATGAGACTCTTGATTCCGGTATACTCGAGTATGACCATAGTGAACTGATTGGAGTTCGGGCCCGGTAGGGGTATGTGAGATGGATGGAAATTGAAGAAAGTGGGGTCTACGGTATTAGTTCTTCTTTAAGCATTGACGGAGAGTCAACGGGGTAAGATCAAGTATGGCCAATGTGGAAAAGGGCTCTTGAGAGCCGTCCGTATCCTTTTATTGTTATTAAAATGTGATGTTAGTTCGACTTACTTGTTGAACCTATTTGGTTTGAGCAACTTTGTGCCTATGTGAACTTTACTGATCTGCATGAGGGTACCTCATTGGGCGAAAACTCACTACGTTGCCTTTGTTTTCCTTACAGGGATATGAATACCTTTTGGAAACTGTGATTTTGAATCCGAGTTGAACTAGTTTAATATTCTTTTGTATAGCTCCTCGATGGCGGAAACCTTAAATGTATTTTGACTCAACATTGCCACTTGGGGTTGTAAATTTGCAACTATATGTGTATAAACGTGCGTGGTAATGTTCATGTGTTTATTTTGGGTTGTAAAGGTTCAACTTTAAGGTTTATATGATTTGTTGATAATTGATTGGGTTTCGGACAGGTTCGGATTTCAAACGGCAAAAGAAAAATTTTTGGCTGAAAAGGTCAGAGGCAAATCCGGCCGAGAATCCGGCCAGAACTTGGGCGGATTACCTTGGAAAATTTGGAATCCGGGCAGTTGGCTACGGCCTCCAATCCGGCCAAGAATCCGGCAGGAAATCTGGCCAGATTCCGGCCGGATTGTGACGTGGCCGTCACTGTTCATGTGCGGCTCCAATTTTTTGTTTTCCGTTTCGTGATTTTTGCTTCGTTGGAGCGCGTTAATACCTTCAGGAACGTTTTAGACTGTACATAACCGCGCTAGTAGTCCTGGCGAGAGTTAGGCAGGCAGTCCGCTAACCCCTTTGGTACGCCTTAGGGGAAAGTGGGGCTGTCACAGGTGGTATCAGAGCCTAGATTAGAAATGACTTTGGCAAGTTTGACTTTTGCTCCTTAGGACCTGTGTGAGGGAAATATTACGGTACCGCTAAGTGTGATTATGCTTACGTTGTTTAAGTTATGAACCCTTTTGCTATTCTTATACGCCATTGCTGGAGCAAGCGGAGAGGGCAGGGGTGAGCCGCCTCAGAGACGTCCTCATGTGATTGACTATCAAGAAAGGCCGGGAGGCCTGATCCGGATTTGGTATACCGCTAGTCGGACTCGTCGTTGTAACCATTGCCAGAACCACTCTTACGTCGATCACGTGGTCGTGGCAGTGTTAGGCGAATGGAGGAGACTTAGGCGTGCCACCGCTAGGGATCACATGGAGATACTTAGGTTGAGGGGCATCACGAGGATACAAGCCAACCGGATAGGGGAGCTCCGTGAGGACATAACTATGGAGCAAGAACGCATTAACGCTTTTAGAGAGCAGTTGCAGGGAGTTAACCATCACCTTACCAATGTCGTCCGGGAAGTGAGAGACCGTTCCGGCGGCATTATTAACGAGTGCGAGGCGTTGATCCAAGGTATGATTGGCGCCAATGCTCAAGCAGAGACTCCTAGTGATGGAACCTCTGGAGAGGGGAGCACCCCTAGTTCTAGTCACGGGGGAGAGTCTGTGGCCTCCGTAGGGAGTTAGACTAGAACTCTTGTGAACCATTTTGCTTCCATGGGAACTGTAGATCGGGGAAAGAACCCTTAACTAGTCGTTTTTGTACGTGTGGACTAGCGATGTTTATATACCTTTTGATGACACCGTTTTCTCATGGATTTTCTTTGTATTGTACTTGACTGACTGTTAATATGTGACTTGTTTGACACTGTTGTGTTATATGTGTATACGTTTTGGTTGTGCATATCTTTTGGCTCCTTATTTACGTTTACTGTTATCTTTAATGTTATACTTACGTTTTACTCTAGATCGACTAAACTTCATGAAAGGCACTCGTAGTGGACGTGGTCGTGGTCACGGAGTTAGGCAACCCACGACTGAAGGGGGTAATCGGGGAACCATATCCGAACCAAATCCTGAACCCAGGGTTGATCCCAATGTCCAAATAGCTGCTGCCATGCAGCAAATAACTGACTTGCTAGCCCAAGTGGTGCAACAACAGGGTCAAAACCCTAACCCCAACCCCGGTAACAATGTGGAGAGCGAGGACAGGACCCTCGAGAGGTTTTAGAAGTTTGCCCCACCGAAATTTATTGGGGGACCCGATCAGGATGTAACCGAGAGATGGCTAGAAAAGATGGTAGACATCTTTGCCGCCTTACACTACACGGAGGAAAGGCAGGTAACGTTTGTTGTCTTCCAACTAGGAGGGGCGGCCTATTCCTGGTGGAACGTAATACGATAAAAGTGGGATTGAGAGCAAACGCCCAGGACATGGGTGAGCTTCATGAGAGAGTTCAATACCAAATTATTCCCTCCTTTATTTCAAGAACGAAAGGAAGACGAATTTATCCAGTTTCGTCAAGGGACCCAGACGGTAGCCGAGACGGTGGCCGAGTACGAGAGCCAATTCATTCGACTGTCCAAATTTGCGCCCGAACTCACCATGACCGAGCAACGAAGAATAAGGCGCTTTGTCCAGGGTCTGAACGTGGAGATCCAGAAGGATCTAGCGGTAGCCCAAATTAACGCCTTCAGCGATGCTGTGGAGAAAGCGCAATGAGTAGAGAATGCTAGGCTCCAAGTGAGGAACTTCCAAGTTAAAAAGATAGGATTTCCTGGTAACAGTTCTGGACAGGAGGATAAGAATACCCCTTCCAAGTTTGGACGGGGAGCCGGAGGTGGAAGCCAGCCGGGAGTATCGAGAGAGGCTCAGTCCAGAGGTGGCCAAGCTGGGCGAGACCAGAGAGGAAATTTCCAGGGGGGCTCAGTTTCAGCATCTCGCGCTCCCTGTCGGCATTGTGGGAAGTCAAACCACACAGAAAACAATTGCTGGAGGAAAAAAAAAATGTTTACGCTGCGAGAGTGCAGACCACTAAATTGCCACTTGTCCGGTCCTAAATCAAGATGGAAGGGGGAGCCAACAACCACCGAAAACCAATTCTGGACCAATTAAGGGAGAATGGACTAAACCCAAGGAGCCGGCTCGAGTGTATTCACTAGAGCCATAACAGGTCCCGGACTCTTCCGGAGTCGTAGAAGGTACGATCCCTGTATTCCACCGATTTGCAAAAGTCTTAGTAGATCCTGGTGCTACCCATTCATTTGTTAACCCCAATTTTATGTGCGGAATAGATATAAAACCTAGTAGTTTACCCTGTACCCTGGAAGTTAGTACT